CGCGGGTGCTTTGTTGGCGGGGTGTTAAACGAGGGGAGGGGGACGACTTTGCTGGTTCGTGGGCGACAGGCGCGGCCCAAACGGGCGCCTGCGGCGGCCTGCCTGCTGGTGTGCGCTGGGTCTTCCCTCTGAGTGCACACGCCCTGCCGGGCGGCCCACCATGACGGACTACAAAGCGGCCCACCATGACGGACTAAAAAGCGGGCCCCACCCTTGACCTCTGCAGGCCGGCACCGGGGAGCTGCAGCTCATGCTGCGGGGCGAGACAGCCAACGCCAAGTGACGCGGCGCGGGAGTTATGCGCTGCGCCAGCGGGATGGCAGCCGGCCGACATGGCGCTTGTTGGCCGCTGGGGGGCGCCCGCGGCCTGACCCGTGTTGGGGCCAGCAGCGCCGCCTGGACTTGGCGATTTGACTCCCCGCTGCAGCCCCGCTGCCTGCGGGGGCGCTGGCATGGCACCTGCCGCCGGCCGTGCACTTTCAATGTAAACAACGAGACTGGCGTGCATGTTCAAGGTTGCCAACTGCTGCTAAGAGGGTGTACATGGGCAGCAGCGCCACGCACCAGTATTACACTGCGTGTTGAGAAGTTGCGGGTGCAAGGTGCGGGCGGTGCAGCTGCCGCAGCCCAGGCCGCGACGGATGTAGCGCCGCGCAATTGGACAGGCATGGCGGGCTCAGGCACATCTCACCAAACCATAACAGACAGCGCGAATGCTGTGCAAACAGAGGCATCAAACTGGATTAGACAACAGGAAGCGCGTGCACAATCCCGCGGCACAAATCAAAATGTGTGGGCTGCCCAAGAGAACCCATGGCAGCCGCCCTGCGGCTGCGGCCGGCCCTGGCCCTGGCGCAGCAGCAGCGCTACTGCGGCGGCCGCGGCGGGAACCCCATGCCGGGCGGCGGCGGCGGCGGCGGCAGGCCCCCCATCGGCGGCGGCGGCGGCGGCCGCCCCATTGGCGGCGGCGGCAGCCCTGCCATTGGCGGCGGCGGCGGCGGCCGCCCCATTGGCGGCGGCGGCAGGCCTGGCGGCGGCATGGGGGGCCGCACCATGCCGGGCGGCATCATGCCCATGCCCATGCCCATAGGGGGCGGCGGCGGCATGCCTGAGGGTGCGGGGGGCGGCGCCCTGGACTTGAAGTGCAGCTGCAGCGAGAAGGTGCGGCTGTCAGGGTCCCTGCGGGGCGCAGACGAACGCCGATTGCCAGGAAAAGGGTGAGTGCGAGCACGGGTGGTTGCATGAGGGAGTGGCACACAAAAGCAGAGCATGACTCCTGAAGCGATGGCCAACCGGACCAACGGCGGGGCACTGCAAGCAGTCTGGGTGTGGCATGCTAAGGCTCTGCATCTATCCTGGTCCAAGGCACGCGTGTCCCTTGCCCCGCCCCCAGCCCACCAGTGTGTGAAAAAGCGGCCCTCCTCCTTTGACACGACGTCGTTGGGGATCTTGAACGCCACCACCTTTGGGGGTGATGGTGTGTGTGTGTGTGTGTGTGTGTGTATTGAGAGTGTGGGCAGGAGTGCGTGTTTTGTTTTGAAGGGGAGGCTTGTGGCAAGGCAGGGGTGGTGCGCAGGGCTGGGCCAATGGGGTAATTGCTTGGGGCTGTGCTTGGATGCGCTGACACCACCTGGCTGGGGCCAGCGCTGCGACAGGTGGGGTCCGGTGGGCAACAGGTGAGCACCCAAATATTGATGCACACAGCACGCCCTCCCAGGTGACACGCTGACAGCTGAACGGCACCACAATTCAACAAACACACACATCCACCCCCCCACCTACCCCCCACACACGCACACACGTCCGAGC